GAAAGAAGAATATAACCAAATGGATTTTTTAGTTGGAAAGGGAGTGTTTTTAAAATTTAAAGTTACAAGACCACTGTGTATAGTATGATGAAAGGCAAATTCAAAAAAGGCCACTACTTTTTCGTCTGGTTTTTGTTTGACTGGATTCCGTTTGAGGAAAACAAGAGTGAAAGGGAACATGATTAGGCACAAACACTTGAGGGATGCTTATAAAGAAAACAAGGAACCAATTCTCATTTGTCCACCATGGGAAAACAAGTAGTAGCAAAGCCAGATCCTGAATGGCAGCTAATGAGCTCTCAGAAAAACAGGGTACAAACCACTTCTACAGAGCCAGCTCTAAGTGCAGTGAGGGCACTGTGTCCGCTTCAGAGATGTATTACTTTTGAAGACCGGTGTTGAGATCGTGCCCCCTTGTGTTCCCTCCCACCACACCTTTGCCTGACCCTCGGAACAGCATGCAATTTAGTTGCTTCTGTGCCAAGGATGGGGATTTAAGGAGACAGTCTATTTTAAGGATAAATGGGTGGATCAGAGATTTGATAATATGGAACCTCTTGCCTTCAAATTACCAATTTCAGTCCCTGCCAAGTTGCTGCTGTTGCTGGTGCAAAGCACCCTGCACAAGATGAGTTTGATAATCTCTATTTTGTTCCCACTGGCCCCTTCCCCACCCAACACCACATGCACAAAAAGGCACCTTTGTTTCCCTGAAGGAAGCCAAGACTTGAATTGAAATCCATGATTCAGCTAACTGAAATACAGTTATGGTGCCATGCTGCTCCCCAGGTGACAGCGGTTTTGGGAACAGAGGCCTTCAGTATGCCAGTCTGGTCAGTCTCACAGGCTCTCCATTGACTCACACGGACTCACTGGAAAAACAGAAGCAGGATCTATTAAAATACATTTTAAAACCTGGAAAGAAATTAAAGCTCCATTTGCAACCACATTTGTAATCACCCACACAACAGAAGCCACACAGCTCCTACAGCCACCCCACCACAGACTGGCATGGAAGCAGACCTGGGGGAGAGTTTAAAAGGTCAACAGGCCACTACCACTATCAAATACTCCATGCAGGAAGCCAAGCTTATTTTTGTCCATTTCTCACCAATTAGGCATGCAGGACTTTTTACATCATCATATCTCTCCCTTTCCCATGCTGTGCATATTTGGCAGCTGCTGGCCTTTCTCCTTATGCACATGAAACTCAATCCTCCTCTAGAGAAGAGCCTGTGTGTTTGGCAGCCAGCTCCATGTGATTACTTAAGCACCTGGGCTTGTATGAACCACCTGTGTAAGAAGCATTCAGCTCTCCCAGGCTTTCAATCCAAGTGAAAAAATTGTATTTTTGCATAATCTGCATCCAAAGCTTCTAAAACAAAGAAAAAGTTCAATGGTGGGTAGCAAATTAAAGTGCTGTGGTCTGGTCAATCTTTGCACAGTTCTCGCAAAATAAAACAAATGGGGAACTCTGAATTAAGGGCCTGACTTTGCTCCTTATTGGGTGCATCTACACATTCATTAATGTGTCTTAGATACTGCGCATTTAGTTTAGTACTTCCTTAATAAAGTACTAATACGCAGTACCTAGAGCTACTGCACAGTAGTGCCAGCGCACGGTAATTTAGTGACACTTACTACTGTGCATTAGCCTAATAATACTGCACAGTAGGCTATTCGTAGACTTTTTGCTATGACATGCTACTGAGCAGTGTCATTAGGCGAATGCACAGTAAGTCTCTCAATAGATGCACCCACTGAAAACTAATGGCTAAACTTCACTTGATTTTAATGAAATCCAAACAAGGAAAATAATTCCAGGACTGCCCAGAGGCCACAAATGAGATGAGGAACCCATTGTGCTAAGCATGGTACAAACACAGGAGCAGATAATTCCCCATTGGGCCTACAGGCTGAACAGGCCAAAGAGAGCATAAGGGAAGTCACAGGCAAGTGAAGTCAGATGAGATGGACAGCAACAAACACCACAGCTCCTTGCAAAGCAGCCTTAGGTCCTTCAGAGATTCCCAGCCCCAAGAGGTTTGTGTTAATATTGCTTTCTAGGGGCCCAGCCTGCAGGGATAGGAATTCTCCTCGGGAGAAGCCGTAACAAACAATTTCTGCTCCCTGAGGTGCACTGGTGGCTAAGCTAGCAGTTGCTGCTGCCACTGCCATTCTTGTGCCCATCCTGATGTTGCATCGGGGACTGATGTCCTGTTTGCCCACCCCTAGTTACACTACTGCTCCTCAGTGCTGGGCAGTTATAAATTGTCTCCAACCCCTTGACAATCCCTTCACAAGGTAAGGGCACTTAACTAGGGTCAACTACCAAGCTTCAGAACTTGCAGGTGATACGGGACTCAGGTTGCTTTGCTTAAGCTCAAAGATGGCTAGCACCCATCTCACCAAAAGGAACTCCAAAGAGGCCTCTGGACCTGCTGTGAATTTAGAGCATAATTTGTCCTTAAATATTTTGGATATCTCTGAACAAAGCCAAAACTGTGAAGACAAGTCCCTATCAAAGGATAATGCAATAAGCAATTATTTACTCATTGCTAGGTACTTGATGTAATCTTGCTAATGAAGCCAAGTTTTAATACTACCCAAAGGAATTCAGCTAAGTGACATGATGTCAACCAAGCCCTTGTAAATAGTATTGACTGGGACAATCTGTGACTGACATCATTTCATCTAACTGTGGATAAACTCTGGTCTTACAATGACTTATGCACAGATCTGATGGCATGATGTTGAACTGTATATGACCCAGAATGCAAAACTGCGGTCAATACAGGGTTGATTAACACAACCACTCAAGATAATACACTACTTTCATGCAACCTTCTAGTTAAGAACACCCTAGTGCAAGAGTCCTCTCGCCACAGTGTGAATTATTATAAAACCTGCCCCCTCACAGCTCATATTACTCCCCCAAGTGTTGTTCATATGTGGCGGACTTACTGATACAGCCTGGCATACCCGGGCTCGGAGGAGCTTCATTACAATTGGTGGAGCATGTCCGCCAAGTGGGGGAGGAGGGGAGAAGAGCCCTGGACCTGATTGAAGCCTGCATCTTGCAGGTCTGACAGCACTCTGGGGGCGGAGCCTCCAGAAGGTATAAGAGGAGCAGCGTGCCCAGCACACAGCAGACGTGCTGAGGGATGGAAAAGAGAGCGGAGCTAAGAAGAGCTGGGGAAGAGCAGTCCAGTAGGTGAGTGCTGTTGCCCTGAAGAGCCCCCAAAGACACCTCTCACCAGACAGGAACAGAGGATGGCTTCAGCCCCAGTCGGTGCATGACCCTGGGAGCTGGGCGGCAGCTCAGGTCTCCAGCCACTCAGTGCACAGAGCCTCAGACCCTGGGAACTGCACGAGGCAGCTCAGGTTTGCAACCGCCAGCATGAGCCCGGGAACCTGGAGCCAACAGGGCAGAGCGGCACGGTCTGGCAGGACCCCGACCCTGGCTGTTGCTTTAGGTGGCTCGGTCCCCCATTTCCTGGCATGCGGCCAGGACTCATGCACACACTCTGTGTGCAGCTGGTCCCAGGCAGGGACCTGGGCCTTGGAGCCGCAGAAGGCAGCCTGAGCCCTCAGCCATGAGCAGCAGGCAGAGCCCTTGGTGTCCAAAGTGGGGCACAGGGCTGCGAGGGGATCGAAGGCCCCACAGGAGCCGGAAGCCTGCGTCTGCATCAGCTGAAAAAAACCCTGGCTGGGGTGACAGGGACTCCACATTGCCCATTGGAGCTGTAAGTTATTGGGGGAAGCCCTTGGAAGGGGGTCTAGCAGAGGGCCTTGTGGGGAAAGTGTCCCCGGCAAGCCCACGAGGGGCTGAGAGGTACTGGGGCCCCTTCCTTCTCCCCTCCTGGAGCTGTGCCAAGGCCCCTAGCATCAAAGGGGAGTCTCCAGTACTCACAGTGATGTTGATACCCTGAAGGCTGTGCAGGCGCCTCATATTTTGTAGGTAGCACCTTATATTTTGTTATTTCTAATGTGAACGTGAACGTGTGTACACTTACCTATGCTTACCTGTTTCAGATCAGTTACTAACCTGTGCTGGGTTTGAGCCCATTGGTTGTGGTATAATTTCCTAGTCATCAATTATAGAATATAGCCTTATATGTAAACTATATATTGTATGTGTTTATTCATATCACTTGTTGGGTTATATGTATATTAACAATCCTGTATACAGTTAAGCTATTTGTGTCCTGGCCTGACTCTATAGAGAACAGAGGGAACAGGCCTATATTACAGACACCTCTCACAGCACTCCTGCCTGGCCACTTGTCTCTTCTATTTGGAGAGGGGAGCACATACCTGTGTGCACCCAGGTTACGCATAAAAAGAGCAAACCCCTCAACTGGGTTGCCATCATGGCATAGCCTACCTCATGATTCTCCTTTTGCCAGCCTGAACCACATCCTACAGAAATAACCAAAGGGCACCTGCCCTTATTTCTAATCAGCACATATTCCTGGGGTGGCTACAGTGATTTCTTAAAACAAGTCATATTTAATATATAGATTTTTGCTTTTGTTATAGTGCAATTTATGAAGTGGAAGCAAGAAGCACAAATACCAACCAGGGCTCAATTCACTGCCCAATTAAGTCACCACAAAGATCACACAGACTTAAGGGGTCCTGGATCCAGCCCAAGTTACAAACCAGCTCTCCTCAGGTATTTGACATGCCCCACCATCCCAGTGCTCAGGAACTATTGCCCTACCTTGCTGTAAACTTACACCCTCCAGAGCTAGCCAAGCTCACTGTCTATTTTTCCAGCCTCCACAAAAGCAGGGTACTCCGGGATCCTGAGGAAACCTAGAAGGAGAGCAATTGTTGAAAAAGCTCTGATTTAAAAGATGTATTGGCCCAGGCTGGGTTGGATTCCCTCAAGAGATTCCAGGGATAGAGAAGAAAACTCACTTAACATTTGGTGGCTTGGAATGACTCCAAGGCTGGCAGATAACGGTTTCAGAACAATATTTTGCTGTAACAGCTCCTGGGCAAGAAGCAAAAAGTATTTTTATTAAAGATGTGATGCTGTAAAGCTGCCCTGTGGCTTGAGAGGGGGGGCAGGGGGAAACCCAAAATGATAACATGTTTAACATGTAGAGCTTCCATCTAAAATGGAAATCTGCAGAAACTTTTCATGTTTTCGTATTGTGAAAGATTTTCAAAGCTACGAAACATTAACACTTCACCTGAACTGTAGCTCCACTGCGTGGAAGAAGATACCAAAGTAAAAGGTAAGGCAAACTTTAAGGAAAAATTCTCTTCAGTGGGTGAGATTCACCAGGGCCAGCACAAAGCCTGTAAAACAGGGCTTAAGAAGTACACACGCGTCATGCTGGTCCTCTCTGAAGGAGAGAGTTTCATCCAATGAAATCACCTTCACAAAAAAAAAAAATAGACTGCCAAGGGAAGTGTCCAAGAAACCGGCAAAACAAGCAGCAGAGTCCACTTTGGTTAAGATATTAATGGTGGCATTGCACAGCAGTCTTGCAAAATGCCCAGACCAGACTGGATAGCCCGAGTAGCTATATACTGGCCTTCATACGGAGCTGGGGGATCTCATCGTCACCCAAACAGGGGCCTATCAGTACCTGGAAGGGAGACTCCCACAGAACATCCCAAATCCCAAGTGTCAATAGGTGGCACTTTTTTTCCAACTTGGTACTGATGCAGTGTGACTCCATGTTGTGAGGAAGGGTCAGTGTTCCAGGAAAAAAAGTAAATTCAAAGTCCTAACTGCTTGCAGTATTTAAAGATCTCTTTACAACTTTCACAAAAATAAGATGACAGCCCTGTTATTTTGTCTATATTGGTATGGCAATTATTATTTGGTATGGTAATACTTATTACCACATAT